AGACGGTGTCAGAGGCGCACACCCGCATCCTCCAGTCTATCGCTCGAGACGTGACTCGGCTCGGGGGAATTGAGGAGGTGACTCAGGATTTTGAATGGACATCTTTTTTCAGGACAAGGACCATAGACTATAAGGGAGACGAGGTCAGGACAGCGCAACAGTTTACCTGGAAGAATATCAAACCTGCGATACCCCGTGAGATCGGAGTGGTGGACTTGAAGGATATATGTGAACAGGGTTGCAAGCATTACATTGAGCACTTCCCAGATTTCCTCAAGCCACCCCATGAATGGGGTCAGGTGCGTAAAGCAAAGGTCATGGTAACAGACAGAGACTGGCCAGAGGTGGCCGCAGGGCTGTTGGAAGCACGGAGGTTTTTCGAGTCAATGACAAGATGTTGCTAAACGGCCTTTTTGGCGTGGAGAAAAACGAAGAGGTTGGAGGCATTCCGGTTTACCGCCTTATTATGAATTTAGTGCCACTCAATGCACTGTGCCAAGGGCTTCACGGGGACATCTCAACCCTGCCGCATTGGTTTGGAATGACCCCCTTCCATATCGAACCCCATGAATCCCTGGTGGTGTCAAGCGAGGACCTACGGTGTTTCTTTTACACCCTGCGACTGCCTAGCTGCTGGTACCCCTACTTGTGCTTCAACAAAGCTCTGCCAGATGACCTGGTGCCCGCGGAGTTTCGGGGCCAACCCTGTTATCCCTGCTCAAAGGTGCTGCCCATGGGATTTGTGAACAGCGTGGGCATTGCGCAACATGTGCATAGGGTCTTAGCACTCAGGTCTCAAGCACACAACCACGCACGCAACAGTCAATCTCTCGAGATACGCAAGGACCGCATCCTACCCGAAGGAAAGGCAGTATGGCGGGTCTACCTCGACAACTATGACCTCCTGGAGAAATACCCCCACGAAGTCCTGGGAGACATCCAAGAAGAGGTTGCCCGGAGGTGAAGGCACTGAGGCAGGAGTACCAGGAGTGGGGCCTTCCAAGGCATCCAGGAAAAGCGGCAAGTAGGAAGTCGCTTGCGGAGGTACAAGGTGCAGTATTGGACGGCGAGAGAGGCATTGCATATCCCAAGGGGCAGAAGCTTTCGAAATACATCACAATCGCCTACCAGCTGATGAGTGAGACACACTGCTCCCAGCGACAGATGCAGGTGGTATGTGGAGGCCTGGTGTATTTCTCAACCTTTCGTCGACAACTTCTCGGAGGGCTGAACCTCTGCTGGGCTTTTATTGAATCATTCAACACGTGTGGTCGGCACCGTCAACTCATCCCCCAAGGAGTCAAGTTGGAGATCATCCGCTTCCTGTGCCTTGTACCCCTGTGTCGAATGGATTTCCGCCTCGACCTCAACCCAAAAGTCACTTGCAGTGATGCCTCCCAGCACGGAGGCGGGGTGTGTGTGAGTACGAGCCTCACCACCTACGGGGAGAAGGTGGCCCTGGGAGAGGAGTGTCGAGGGATGGTGAGCAGCGGGGGTCAGCGGGTCCTTAGTATTGGACTCTTCGATGGAATAGGTTGTCTCCGAGTGGCATTGGACATCCTTGGGTGTGACGTGATAGGGCACATTTGCGTCGAGAAGGACATGGCGGGTCGTAGAGTGCATGGTGGAGCACCATTTCCCTGACAGCTGGCCTTATGAGGATGTCGCGGGGATCACCGAGGCCGACGTACGGAAATGGGCGCTGCGCTATGGGCAAGCGTCCCTGATCATCATCGGGGCTGGACCCCCATGTCAGGGTGTCTCGAGGCTCAACAGCCAGCGCAAGGGCGCTTTGCGGGACGAGCGATCATCCCTGTTCATTCACGTGAAGCGCTTGCGTGACATGGTGCAACAATATTTTCCGTGGGGACAAGTGCATTGTTTGATGGAAAGTGTTGCGTCCATGGACGACCGCGACAAGAACATCATGTCGGAGTCATTCGGGGGACGACCCTGGGAAATAGACGCATGCAGGTACTCTTTGCTGGTGCAGCCGCCCTCGTCTTTACTGGATTAGCTCCCAGCCCGAAGGCGAGGATGTGGACATCACTGTGGAGCGTGTGACACTGACGGGGAGTCAGCCCTGGTCGAGTTCAGTTGAAGCTGGATGGACAAAGGTGGATGACACCCGACCTTTCCCCACGTTCACTACTTCAAGACCGCGGACAACTCGGGGACATCGCCCTGCAGGATTGGACGCGTGCGACCAAGTCACCATTGATCGCTGGGAGGAGGACCTTCACAGGTTCCCGCCATACCAATACATCCCCCGCAATTGCATGATCAACAAGCGTGGAGACTACCGGATACCAAATATCAGAGAAAGGGAGTATATGATGGGGCTACCCATTGGATATACACAGATGTGCATGCCGAAGTCCAAAAGGAAGCACGCAGACTACAACGACAAACGTCTCTCGCTGGTTGGCAATGGCTGGGCGGTGCCGGTCGTGGCATGGCTGCTTGGACAGCTAGTTGGGCCGCGCGGGGCTGGACCCTCGTTATCGCCAGCGGAAGTGCTCTCCCGAATAACACTGGAAGGGAATCCCTACATACAGTCGCGACTGATGCGGCCCCCTTTACAGACCGAGCAACAGGTCAGCGGAGTCCCGGAGGGCACTCTAGTACACCAGTTGGGCCGCCTGGTCTCCACAAAGGGCTCTGACTTGATGATCACCGCAGCGCAGGATGAGATTCAGAGCTACCAACGACTACGGCGCACAGTAAATGCCAAGATGTGGAAATGGAGGGTTGTCTCAGGGTGGAAATGGCGCAGTCAGGGTGAGCATATCAACTCCCTGGAGTTGAGGGCAATTTTGGCATGCCTCCGATGGCGTTGTGAACACATGGGCGAGCACAACATGCGCATTCTCCACCTCACTGACTCTCTTGTCTGTTTACACAGCCTCACACGCGGACGCACTTCCTCTAGGAGATTACGCAGGACCCTTTGCCGAATCAATTCGCTTCTATTGGCACACAATGTGGGAGCCCTATGGGGCTATGTGCACACTGACCTCAACCCGGCGGATAAGCCGTCGCGGTGGTCAGTAAAGACTAAGTTTAAGCATGCCAAGGGCCGTTCTTGAGGGAACCACCCAAGCCAGTAGAGCGAAAGAAAGGCAAAGGTTAGGAAGTCTGCGTGGGCTGACTGTGCAGCCTGCCACCCGCATCCGATATGATCGTGCTTTGAACCGTTTCCTCGCTTTTCTCAAAGAGGAAGGCCTGGAGTTGCCCAGTCGCCGCAGTTTGTTAGATCCTTTGGTCATGGAATACGTGGAACACCTATGGCGTACCGGGGAGGGGCGTGGACTGGCCGCCGACACCCTAGCGTCCCTTCAGGACTTCGACGCCAAAATACGGGGGCAACTCCCTGGAGCATGGCGATTGGTGAAGACATGGGTTACTCACAAACTCCCCAATCGGGCGCCGCCCATGCCCGAGCGCATCCTCCATGCTATGGTTGGCTGGAGTTTGTATCATCAGTATTTCTCCTTTGCGACCAGCCTTCTGTTGTGTTTTTACGGCATTTTACGCACTGGTGAATTGCTAGATGTGACCAAACGTCGGATTGACATTTCGGACAGTTTGCGAGTCGCCGTTGTCAGTCTAGGAATGACCAAGGCCGGCAAGAGAGCCGGCGTCCAGGAAAGCGTCACCGTCGGCCACGATACAGCCTTTCGGTACTTACACCAATGGTGCTGTTTAGCTAGTACTCACCAACGTCTGTGCCCGCCAGCAGCCCGCTGGCGCAAGCTTTTCAAAACATGTGTTGAGGCTTTGCACCTGGAACCCCTTGACCTCCGACCCTATTCCCTCCGAAGGGGGGGGGGCTACATGGTGGTTTTGCCAGCATGGGAACCTAGATAGGGTAATGCTTCTAGGTCGCTGGCAGGCCCAAAAGACGGCCCGCCTATACCTGAACGAGTCCAGAGCAGTCCTGACAGAGATGCAGCTAGGTCCTTTTGAGCAGTTTTTGGCACCGTACCGCAAGTTTTTTCAAAATTCCACCCCCAAGTCCTTCAGAACACTTGAGCCGCTGCAAAGCAGCAGGCCGCCCGACGAGAAGCGTCGGCTCGGGGGACGTGGAAAGAGGGGAAGAAACCCCCTCAAACGACCTTCAAAGTGCTCGTGAGGAGCGAAAAAAAGGTCGCATTTAAGCTCCCCAGGACCTGGCCAGGGTCTGGGGTTTGGCCCGCCTGGTTGGGGGGGACAGGTTACCTGGATACGTCCCCTTCTTTGAGTAGTGGACCGAAGAAGGGGGGGAGGTAACCAACCCGGTTCTCTTTTTTCGGGTTTTCTGTCTTAACTTTTTATCATTATTTTGACAAATCTGCTGCAGAGCGAACTAGAAAAGGATGCTGACGAGTCTTTATATATATATACCCTAGAAGTCCAAAGACTATATTTTGACCGACTGATGCAAAGGATATTCCTTTTCGGGTCACCTAGTCAGACCATTCTTTTTATCGCCTTTGACTCCCAGGGTATATACAGTATATGTTGACGTCTTTGGGTCCCGTTGAACATCCACTGCGGTTCGGCTCAGGTGGACCTCTCCGGCCATCGTCGATCGAAGGATCCATGGGTCGAAGGTGATATGGCCGGAGGCCCTATAGGCTTTGATAGATCCCATCAATGAATTAAGTGACCTTTCGCATCCTTTTTAGCCTGAAAGCGATCTTGGAGTGGCAGTCTTGGACTGTCAGAATTGTAGAGTCCCTGGATGTTTTTGCTCTGGTATTCATGTTTACTTGTTACCCGTTGCAGCAAGCTCGAAGACACAAATCTCAAGCCTTCTGAGGGTCCCATCCTGTTTTGGCAGCCCTGAACTCCGACCGAACTCCGAGGAAGCTCCAAAAAAGGTGGACCTGAGTCCGTTTTGGGTGGCATGTCTAACATCAGAATCATTCCTTACGAATTACGAAGCGTTCTGTTGAAACACATGACCTGCCTCAGCCTTCTCGAAGCCTCGAAACCCAATGTTCGATCCGTTGGAGGATGGATTTGAAGTCCTCACGTCCAGACAAGATGCCTCTTCGAGGCCGGACCGCGGGCGGAGCATGGCGGAGCATGGCGGAGCATGGCGGAGCATCGAGCTATCAATCAAGGTCAAGCAGTATGCAAGAGGATGCAAGAATTCATTTGCAGTTCACAACCTCTTAAGAAAGGGGCCAAAGGTTTCGTGTGTCGTTTTTCCTGAAACAGTCAGCCAGACTCGGCCAGAATTGATTTGCAGGTTTGGAGGTTTTTCTTTGCACAACCAAAAATGCAGACTCGGCTGAGATGCGGGAGGTCTCCATTGATATGACGGAAGCCATAGTTGTGCAGCTGTGAGGGAAGATCCAGACCATTTGTACGGTACGGTATGTTTGGAGGTTTTGATATGTGTTCATCCAGACCAAACTGGGATCGCTACCAGTTGTGCACCCTTGGTGGGGGGCGAATTCATGTCTTTGTTATACATTATATATCCCAGACGCTCCATGTAGGAGTATTTACATACATTGGGGTGGTGGATTTCAGGCGTCTTTCTGGGGCGACACATATTCCAGTCCCATGGGTTGCCATTTGGGAAAAAAGGTGGTCCCCAAATGGATAGTGGCACAATACATGTTTCGTATCTATTTTTCTATCTACTTGGGTGTCTCTATACAGACTATACCAGGGGCCCTCAAAACCATGAAAAACAAAGGTTTTCATATACAAAAACCATGTTTCTTGCTAGGGAAAACCAGGTTTTTGATGATTTGCGGGGCCCCTGGTAGTCATTCAAAAGGTCTGACATGGTCTGACCGATGCGGACTCCCCCCCCCCTTTACTTGGGGAATCCGGTCACGTTACCAGAACCACAGGCCCACGGACCTGGCAGGCGATGTTGTGGAACTAACATGAACTAACATTTTAATCCGAAATCAATCCAAGATCCACTCAAGATCCAGTGGCAAACTAAGCTTTTCATCACCCTTGCATGAGGGTCCGAGGGTTGTACTTTTGTTGCCTTGATTCTTGATCATGTGATGTAAATCTATTCAACGGTCTTGACCTCCTGGTTCCAGTGACATGTTTTTACTTTCTAGCCATGCAGCTCAGCTTGGCCGCTGTGGAGGACGTCCATGCCGGACTACGACGCGACCTTCTTCCAACGAGGTTGGGAATTTGATTCAAGGTTTGGTGGTGGGGGGTGCACTGCAACCATGTTCAACCCACACTTAGACCCAACATTTACGCATCTGGCGGAACCTGTCCATTAAGGACCTCGACATACCTACTTATGATTTTGTGTGATCTGCGGTTCATAGCTTGCAGCAACACACATGAGGCAGATCTCTCCTGGCGATCTGACTCACATCATTGACTTTGGTCGCCGTCCCAATGCACTTTAAGTTAATCAGATGAAATAGTTACTAGGCATTACTAGGCATACTAGGCATACCGTTCTGAGCTTGTGCCGCGGATTCTCCCCAATTGACTAGTGCCCTTTTGGAATTGCCTGCTTGGACTGCATGACATATTGTTGATGGACTAAGCTGCTAGTGATGGAAGAATGACACTGGCACCACCTGGAACTTTCAACAGACACGGAAATATGTTCATTTAGTTTCGTGGGTTTCTTCCGTCACTTCAGTGCTCCTCGCAGTTTCTCGGTGGATCAGCTTGCTCAAGAACTGCGGCTTGCCATTCTGCCAGGTTGATGCTCTGAAGTCCGGTCTCTGCGGCGCGTGGACATCCCGCAGAGGAAAAGATGGAAATCCTTCTGGACGAGTCACGGGCCACGGGAGGTGAAAAATCCGTTAAGGTTGAAGTTTAATTTTTTGTTTTTTTTTCCGAAAGAACCTAGTTGGCCTTGCTGTGCTGATTGGGTGGAAAATCCTCCCCTCTTCAATTCCAACATTAGAACTTGTGTTTCTGTTCCTGATGGCGCTGGCGCAGTCCGTCGCCCCGACCGTCGGATCCTTCCCGTTTTTTTAACCGTTCGGAATGGAGTCCGAGACGCTTTGATCTCTATATATATATATAACGTGTTATTGCATCGGGTTTTTAGGGTGTAAGTGTGATTAGGAATGATTATGATCATGATTGTTTCCAACCAAATATCTGGGTTCTATACATGTGGATGATGATGTGCTACTTCTGGCAAATTTATTGATGTTTCTGAGTGTCTTAGGCCATTTCGCACTTGGTTGAAGCATTTCCAACCTACAGCCCATCAATTCTGCAGGCAAGAAAAGGGCCATGCGGCGTTGGCCACTTCACACTCCTTCCAACGGTGGGTAAAAAAGGATTCAAGATTGAGGATCCTGCTTGTGTCCACATTGGAAATACTGTTATGATTATGTTTTTTGTTATGCCCAAAGTGCCAAAACCTGGTAAACAATAGGCAACGCCCTAATTTACGTGTGAATATAGCCCCAACCTATACTTTTGGTTGACACTGGCTCATAATATATATATATATATATGTACACACATTAGATACTCTTTATAGCACGTGAGTCATGTGAGTCTTATATCATATAATATCATATACATTTATTTATGTATATGCCATATATATATATATATATATATCATATATATACACACCATATATATATATACACCATATATATATAGTATATACACATACATATACATATATATATATATACATATTCATTTTCTTCAGCCACCTGAGGCCACCTGTCTCTAGTAGTTCCTTTTGGTATTTTTGTGATATATATATATATATTAATAGTTGATTCATTGGATCATTAATTTACTTCTGTTGCTGAGACATGTGTGGATGGGCTTGGAGGTAGCTTAAAGCACTGCAAGCTTGGCAGAATGCTTAAATCGGAAGTAGATCATCGATGTTTAGGGGTTCAGTACAACTGGACCTTGTCAAGGCTAACAGTGTCGAACATCTCACCCTCTCAGAGGGTGGCCGTGGATCCAGAAAAACTAGACCATCCATGGGACTGGCCTATGCACCGAGAAACGGCCAGGGGTGGTGGATTTCATAGGTGAAGGGGGGGGGGGCAAATCATGACAGTCTCATGATGGTTGAGGTCAGGGTTTCTTCGATTCATGTAGGGTTTGCGGTCCGTTTTTTCCTCCCCCCCTCTCGGCACCACGAGTGCGGTCTCGACCCGACCCCGGTGTCCGGGCGAACTCGGTGTGTCGGGGCGTGCGCGGTGTCCGGTGTGGTGGCTCCGGGGCGGTCAAAGCGGCTGGTGGAGAGGTTTCGAGGATGTCAATGGATTTGAATGGATTTCAATACATAACATGCGCATCCTCTCAAACTAGAACACATGTGATCCCAGCGTCAGTTCTCACCAGGTACGCCTTTATCGCCTTCGGCATGTGAGACGCGGCCCTTTGCAGCGAGCGGGCCCTCTGATGTTTCGTGTTTGTTCAAAGCCAGGGTCTCAAGTGAAATGGGCCAAGCACCCACTCATTCTTCGAAGGTGAACAGAAGCTACACAGATGCATTGAGAGTGCAAGCGTGGAGGGGTTTGCAGCAAGCGATTGACCAAGAATATTACTGTAATAGTACCAAATCCCCGCACTTGGCCTGGGTGTTGCAGACAGACGTACTCAGTGACGTGCATGTTTTGTTTAGTTATGTTTGGCACCCCAACCGTGAAGTGTGAAGATCCCCTGCTAATTGTCCTAAATCTTTGGCAAGAGATCCCCTGCTTGAGCAAACCATGACTGCCGCCGCCCGCCTCGACCGCGAAGCGTGCCGCAGACCGCCTGCGGGGTGACAAAGAGGATGGGTGAGGCAGGAATATGTTCACCTGAAGTATCCCCCCTCAAGACTCTTGGCTCAAATCCAAGGGATGGTTTATATACTGTATGTTTATATCATGGTGAGGCTATTCGCTCCGCATTTGTCCTTTTAAATTTACACACTACGGGCTTTCCAAGCATCAAAAATCGATGGAAACCACGAGCCCGAATGCAAACACGCACAAAGAAAACGGCCAAACATTGTTTGAAACTCTTGTAGGATATACACTCTTGTATGCGGGCACTCTTGTAGAATACTCTTGTGAGACACTCCCATGCGAAGCTCTTGGGACACTCTTGTCGGGCACTCTTGTGGGAGTAGGGCGGACAACTCAAGCCTCCAGGCCTCCAAGTGAAGTGGCTAATCTTTACTTTTGGGGTGCTTAGTGTACCTACTAAACATAACTGGTGGATACTGGTGGAATGGCAACCATGAGGAAAAGTTTGGAAAGTTCAATCATATCAGAAACAGGCTCCAGGAGCAAAAACGAGCAGATTTATGCATTCGAGCAAAAATTACAAGACTCAAGACTCTAAGAATAAGCCAATTGCCCTTTGCGTCTCCTTGGTTGATCCAAGTGGGGCCTGTTTGGGACTGGCATATTTACTGATCGGGCCAGGGGTGGTTGATTTCAGGGGTCAATGTAGGTGTGGAGTGTTTGGGCATGTCTCATGAATGTTAGATTCAGGTTGTTTGTTTTCTTCCATGGCGCATTTACCCAGTGTCCCCCTTGGATTGCTCGTACGGTGTCCTTGTTGACGCTGAACTGGCAGAAGTTGTTCACATTATATGCACTATAGTCACTACCGTAGTACATTGCTTATTTGGCAGCTGGCATACACAAGCTTGTACCTCTCCCAAAATGACGCCTTTGTACCGGTCACCGCGAACGTGCATATATATATATAATATTATTTGTTTTGCTCTTTTTAGTCTTACCATGTCCTACCCAAAAAAGATCCAAAAAGTAACGGGAAATTATCGTTCCAAGTTCTTGAATAATCCTAGGTAGAGCAACACCTGCGGCTCTCCATCGTCCTTCTTGGGATGTTGGTCTCGGCTCAAGGGAGATGGGTCGATAATGGGACACAAACAAGAATTTGGACCTTTCAGGTGCCCCGGAAATTGCCAAGAACGTGAAAGGTTTTGGGAACACAGCCTTCGAAACATGTAACAGGCCAACAGCTCCTTCAACTGCTCTGTTGATTGCTTAAATGGGTCACTTTGTGTTTTGCTGCGCACACCGGCAAGAGTCATGGCCAGAAACGGCCCTCGTCACCCGACAGTACTGTTCAGCTGACCCATATTCAGCTGATGCACCTGGTCTCTCACACCAATGCAACCGATGGACGCATAGAAACTTCATGGAACCTGTTTCATTCCAAACGTGGCAACCGCCGCCCTCGGCGCGGGTCATGTCGACCTCCTGCCCCTCCTGCGGGTCTTGGGATGCTCGGACCGCGCGAAGAGAACTGGGCGAACTAGAGTCAGGTGTAATTACCTACGGTGGGTTCAGGGAAGTATGCAGAAAATCGCAAATGGGTGTGGGTTCAAGATGATGTTAAGGCCTCAGATGGAGCCAGGAGACATCAGCAATCCACAATTTCTGAAGAGTTTGTTGCATGTTTTTTGGGTTAAGGCCAAGCCTACCAGGGGAATTAGGTCATTGTTTGGGCCAAGAACTTCCTGCTACAAGCTTCGGAGACTCCACACATCTCCAGATGTACCAATTTGCAAGAGAATTGTTTTGGTGTACTGTTTTCATGAATGACGTTTGATGTTTTTTGTTTGTGCCGTTTCCTTTCTTAGTGCATGGGCCCTCAAAAAACGAACGACTCGAGGGGTGTACGGGCACCGTTGGGAGTTGCACTATGTTGTTGCTAACTTGATCTGGTTGGCTTGGCGTTTTGATGTCTGGATAAAACACACTGTGCTGTGCGGCCATGGCCCAATTTGATGCCATGCAATTCCAGAGTCATGGAACATGGGACACTCAACGAGCCCAGAAAAAGGAGCAGGACGTTTGTGTTGGAAGTTCCGTATTACTCCTGACTCCATCCGTTTGACCCTCCTAATGAAAAAGGACAAAAAGGACAACAAAAACAACAGACACTTCCAAGAGAGGTTGAAGGGCGCCTATATTGGTCTAACCCATCCCGACGGTCCGACCCGTCACCGAGCTGTTTGGAAGTCCTCAAGGACTTGATCCACAATGATGCTCGCGGCGACACGGCACGGACCCCGCGTCGTTTTACGGTAGTTGGAACAAGGAGCTGAAGGAAGGAAGGTTGCGGCGTTTTTGAGTCAGGGCACGGCGTAAAGATCCTACCCCCAAGAATCATGGACCCTCGAGGTGCAGGTGTTGAGGGTCCAAACCCCTGCGTTGCAGGGTCACGACCTTTCATTGGAGCTTTAACGGATGGATCGGGCAGACTTGTGTGTGGGTTTTGATGTATGGTCCAAATCCAACTTTTGTAGTTTGCTCATGGTTCGGAGATTTCAATCTCCATTCCTCCAAGAGTGCATCGAGTGTGAGGGGATGTGTTTCCTGTTCAGGTCCATGGCTTGCTTGCCGTCAATGGGTTCGGATGAGTGAAGTCCAAAATATCAGTGTTTGTTGGCAGCAGCCAATGTTGCACCCCTCCAATTGAACAGAAACCAAGGACATTTTTGCATGGTGCTTGCCTCAATCTGCTAAATGACTTGAAATATGTGACAGTATGGATACCTGCTCGCTGATACACTGTCAAAGGAAACATATGATGCTCGGCTGAAATCCGAGCGGCTCCTGATTTGGAGTACCAGCTAACACAAGCATGTACTCTTGCTATGAAAACAGGTGTCACTTTGGGTTCTATATATATAATATATATAGGTATAGGGGGTAGAAGGTGAACACACAAGACAAACAATTTGTTTGGATTTTGCATGGAGATTCTCGGAGAATAGCTTGTGCCGGATATGATATATATATGCGTCTTGCTCAAATCACATGCCTTGTTTGGAGGTTTGCGGGAGTTGTGGCGAGCTGGTGGAGGACAGGACCATGGCTCGAGAGCCTGGACAATGGGGGAACATGGTGTCGATGAAGAACCATAAGTAAACAC